ACAGGATGTTCCATAGGGTTCTTCTCTGTTTCCGCAGCAAGTATTCCTCTTGATTTATGAACGTTTGTAAAGGCTTCAACTTCTGTCATTCCCACTCTACATTTTCAGCCTGTGTTGTTTTGTCATGTTGCAACAATTTAACATTATATTAAGGACCTCTTGGCTCTGAGAATGCTATTATAACATAATCAGTCTTTGTTAGGAAATTTATGTCTAAATCGTATGCATTGAAATTGAATGACATCCCATCCAGGGAATGCCCAACATTCTACCTTGGGCTTTCAAAATAGACGCCAAGTTTGCTGTGACCCTGTGTCAGATCAGCAGTTATGGAAGATGGGTGGACCTATTTACTGATTCCACTTTTTATTCTAGTTTTGTAATGCACTGATGTGTTATTCAGTGGGTAGCACTATTCATATGGTCTCTCCATGGTTTCTTCCTCCAAATGCTCCATTTCCTCCCCCAGTCCAGTAGTGTCTCTAGATTGCCCGTAGTGTATAAGTGTGGGCTTGAGTTATCCCCCCCTTTGTGCTTCTTTGCCTTGGGTCCTGAGATGCCTGACATATGCTTCAGGCCCCACCATGATCCTGACCTGGATAAGTGATTAGAAGTAAGATAGATGGATGGATTATGATTAAATTGAAGAAGTTCCTAGGGAGTCACTGTTTCTTATTAGTATGAACGAGCATTTATCCTGCGCCTGTAAAGTCTAGCATCTCCTCTAGGCCTCAGTTCGACCATGCCTGCCTTTATGAAAAGCCGGTTTTCTCGGACAGAAAGACCTTGACAAAGGCCTCAGAGCCTCGGACATCCATGTCAAGTGGTTCACTGTGGAAAAATAACAAGTACAAGTGTGGGGATTTAGCCAGCACTGTGCTAATCCACTGGTGTGGGCTAAACTGATTAGTGGGTAGGCCACTGTTTACACAAGACCACAATAATCAACACCAGTAATGCAAATGGTGCTGGACTGCGTGAATCCCCAGTTTCTCTGTCTGGCCACTCACTGTCAGAGCCTGTCTGGTCGGCTTTTTTCAAGACAGCTGTAGAAAAATGAATCTTTAGACAACCACACTGGGAAATAAATGCAATTTCCAGTTGTCTTGGCCTGTTAGGTTGTCTTTGGCACATTCTGGCATGTGTGGCAGTATGGAGAAGGGTAGCGAGGTTAATTCACTACAAGATAAAAGCCCAGATCCTGGGTCACATAGCTGTTCTTTGGTGTCTTTGTTGCACCTTCAACAGAATTCACTACAAACATACTATCAGTATAGGAATAACACTCAAGAAGTGGCTTTGAACTGGTCCTCTGTAATCTTAGATAATTTGCTTTCCATCTCATTGTGTTGACCGTGTACCTAACTAACAGTGGCCCTTTCAGAAACTGTTTTGCATGGTCTGTCCACCATGTGACACCAGGGCGTCACCGTCACATCACATACCTTATTTAGACATGTTTCAGTTGAGCTGTAATGTGCTTGAAATCCTTTTTTTTTTTTGAAAACCAACAGGGCTAAAAATCACGTCATTAACTGGGCCAAGTTTGTGTCTCAATTTCAGATTCCTGGCAAGTAGCCGTTTTAGCCTCGCTGTAAGAAACTGTGGTCGAGCTCGACTCTGTTTTCTTTCCCTCGGTACGTTGACAAAAGATCACAATAGGTTACTATAATCGGCTTGCGAGTGCCAATGGGCATAAGCTTTCTCCCAGTGGGAGAGGACGTGGTTTTCTCCTTGGCATGCTGGAATTAAGGGAAGTCGACAGACCGGATTAACTGGCTGGAGGAAGCTGTGTCTGCCTTGATTCTCAGTCACCAAAGTCACTGCCATTCTGCTCACTGCTCATTGGCGCCTGTGGTCCAGTCATCTACCCTCTGCTCTGTTTGTTCTGCACTGCCAAGCGTATCGAATACAATGCAACATTAGGGACGATGGCGTTATAAAACATAACATTAGGAATTTTAAGGGTTACGTAATCTTCCCTTTTTTTTAGGAACGTGGCCTGCATCCTGACACCATAAGTCACATCACATAAGATACCATCTCACCGATACCATCTCCCGGAATTGGCATCGCTACACTTTCCCTGGATACGTGTCTCACTTTAACCGGTACATGTTAATCATCAGCATCCTCACCTCCCACCTTGTTCTGATCTCACCTCTTTGGATGCTTTGCGTTAATAGAAAGACTACAATGCAAACACGTTGTAGAGGAATACGAGGGGAAAAAGTTAGCTAGGGATGCTGACTTTAGCTAGGGATGCTGACTTTAGCTAGGGATGCTGACTTTAGCTATGGATGCTGACTTTAGCTAGTGATGCTGACTTTAGCTATGGATGCTGACTTTAGCTAGGGATGCTTTCGAGCCAAAGCTGGATGTGTAGCATCTCATAACAAGGCCAATTAAGCTTTCATCTAATATCCTTATTTGTGGGAATGTATTTTAGATAAGGCCTGATCTATAAACCAAAAAAAGCTTTGTGGGGTGATACTGAGCTGTTAACAATCAAGGCAAGGCAATACTCTCCTGGAAAGGCAGTGACATCAAATGACCGTGTACTGGGAGTGTAGAGGTTCAGCTAGGGACATATCAAGGGCTGTGCATGTCATGGTGAAAGGTTCTTATCAGTTTTCAGCACAGTGGAATTTGGCTGGGCCAGGAAAGTTAGACACTGGTCCTACCAAGCATTATGGTACCAAGACATCCCTATGGAGGCCCCTGGACTCCATCCAACTCCATCTTGATGATCTATGGCTACTGTTGGTGACTTGCACTACCTCCTCGTAGCATGGGACCACCATGTGGCAGGCTGGAGAAGCCCATAGCTAATTCTCCTTTGCTCACTGTTCAGCCCAAAGCCCAAAGCACTCCAGAGTTGCCACAAATGTGAATGAGTGATAATGTGCTCCAGCGGGGTCAAATGCGCCCTGTGATTGGCTGGGAGCCACATCGCCCCCCTCGCAGGTGGTGGCTCACCAATCAGGCAAAGCTCTGCTTGTGTGTTTGTTAGGATATGGTGAGGGGGTAGGGGAGTGACATATGGTGAATGGATGGGGGAGGGGTTGCTTCACACATAAGGAGGTTGGGCAGGCAGTTGTGGGGGGGGGGGGGATTTGTGATTCTTAACACCCCACTATTATGACATAAAGTATTGTTCAAATATGAATTACAGTACAGCCCATCCACAGAACAATGAACTAACAGGTATACATATAGCGTAAGAAAATGCAAGATTGAGAACAATTTGAGGTGTTTCACAAGAAGAAAAAACCCAGATGGTAACATTGCAAAATGATCATATGTGTATCCAGTTCATCATTCAGGTTTATATGAAAATGGGGCAATAGGTATTAAGGTAAGTATTGCTTTACAACTGACAGGTTAGTGGTTCAATTGCCTTGGGAGGTCCTGCTGTGCATTCCATGTAGTTATTTGTGCAGAATGACATACGTGTAAAGACCACAGATCTGGGTCAACCAATATACCTGGAGCAGTTAAAGTTAAAGGCCTTTCTGAATGGCTCAACTGTGGTGAGTATTCCACCAACCTTGGGATTTGAACCCATGACCTTCCAGAGATGGGCACAGATTTAGAACCTACTGAGGTGCACACCACATTTATGGCAGCAGCCACTAAACTCTTGAACGAAGCCCTTGTCAGGGTCTGCCCCATCAGGCTGTCATGTTTCCATTTGGCCAGCAGAGGTCGCTGGCCATCTCGTAATCACCTCTTTGTTTCCAGCCTAATGTGCTAACCATCCACACCTGTCCTAAGTTTGGTCCTCATTACCTATGTATATATGTGTCTGCCCTCACCTGATTCCCCAGCTTGGTGATTGTTGCTTGTCACAGAGTCAATATCTGCTCATGTATGTACCCTCCTTTGCAAACCCCATTTTGTGGAAATCCATGTCAATGTGTGGATTGTTGCTCCTTCCCTGTTTCCGACTTGACAGCCCTTAATTGATCTAAATAAAAAACCCAAAAATATTGCAGGTTCTTTTTTTTTTAATATAACGTCTAGAAAGGAAAGGAAATGTAGTTGAATACATGTAAAATTTTCAACATAGGTAAGTATGTGAATTGTATTTGACGCCTGACAGCCAATTTGAAATTCATATGATTTTCCTAACAGGTAAAAATCATTCAGATATGATTTGGTCAGATTCATCTTGCTTCAGGTCAGAATATAGAGCTGCCATCCTTGCATTATTGATTACCTCTCTAAATTATACATGGTTTAATGTGAATCTTTTACATACGCATGGAAAAAGATTGTCTAGTTGAAAGAAAGAACATGCAAACTGGATTGGTAGAACTGCCAAGCAGCACAAAATCGGCAAACCAAATTCCTGATCTCAATCTTGCAAGGCTTAAGCAAATCATTTGATAAAGTCTTGCATTGCTGCTGCTTTGAAAGATAGCTTCCTGGACTTCCTGTAATGTTGTAATGTTGTATTTATAAATCTGTCGCCTACCTTTTGTGTTCCATAAGGAGGTGCTGTTTCACTGGCTCAGTCAGAATTTGAGCGATGCAGCAAGCCCGCCTCTGCTGCTGCTCCCGAAATGGTATGTCACAAGTGCAGAGCTGGTCCTTCTCTACATTTATGCTCTTGCTGCCAGTATTCACAGTGCAGAAACTGCTGAACTGTCCAGTGGGGTCTATTTAGGCATTACAACTGTGTGGTAAAATTGTGCAATTGACCTTTAAAATAATCTAGACTGGTCGAATGAGTAACAGATTCCCCTCTAAAGAAACCAATGAACCTGATGTTTGCACGATATTACTTTGGATCCTGCTCAAGCACTACACTTGACAATGTCTTTTATGACAAATATAGAAAGACAGAAATCCAGAAAGAAACTGGCAATTTGTTGTTGTGAAATAAATCTGAGCTTACAGCCAGTGCCGTGATGTTTTTGTGACGGAAAAAAAGTATGGAATCAAAAGACATGCAGAGGCCTGTGGGCTTGGAGTGGGGTGGGGGGGGCGGGTGACAGTGTTCCTCTACATTACAAAGATAATCACAGTGAAGGGGGTTGGATTTGCTTAATTCATTTACATGCTGTTTTAGTTCAGAATCAGTGCTACCTTTCCCCCATTGATTGTTCAAACATGATTAGCCAATGAAACAACAAAACTCAACCCACTAGAGGGGATTCTTTTGGAGTCCAGGAAATATGCGGCCAGACCTTTTTTCAAAGAGGATGGAATGCGGAGGCATTAAAGTCAAAGGTCAAACTATGGTGAATGTTCCCCCATCAACTTTAGTTGTCTTTGCTTGAAATCAAAGATCCAAGCAGAGCAAGTAACACCAAGTGCTGTCTTCTGTGTGTTTTTCATGCATAGTGTGTTTCATGGTGCCAAAGTTTTGTAGTTAAAACGAGACTGCAGACTTTATTGCATTCTTCACAGCTAGATATCATTTTGCATAATCGGATTGGCTGGGACTAAGCAGACTTTGTGGAGTACAGTGTTGGGCGTCACTGTAATACGTGGATGGAGGCTGGATGCGCAGTCAGTACCGTGGGATGGGAGCCATGTCACAGCAAATGTGAGATTAGAGAAAGTCTGCAGGTTACTCTGTAATGTCATCATCCAAGTGAGGACGCGCTGCGTGTTTGCATGGTTTCCTAAAAGGCATTACAGTGTACAAATCAAGATTCAAAATAAATGCTATAGTAGCTGTAGAACTACAGTTTACATAAAAGCATCTTTTCTGGTGTGTTTGGTGCTGCATACCCACTACTAACATATTTTTTATATATAAAAATTATATATAAATGTGTTTGTGTGTATCAGAGAGAGAGAGAGAGAGACAATAGGGAGGAGAAGGAGTGAAGCAGATATAACAAGATGGATTTGGGTGGTTGGAATAAGACCCATAAAAATGGGTATAAATGAACAGATTTGTTGCAGTAAAGTGAGAGTGAGAGTACTAAAAATTCATGGTGCAATTAAGAATGTGTTTTATTATTGTATATCAGAGTCTGATAGTGGTGCTGATGTTGTAGACGATGTGGTAACTTGCAGGCCTCGTTGAGAAGTTAGACAGCCCTGGAGCCAGTGTTCTTCTCAGCAGGAAGGTCTACAATGTGTTGTAGTTTACAGGGGCCAGATACATAACCATAACCATAACCCCAGCATAAGCTTATGGCAGACATCAGGATGCTCTCCATAGGGGGTCTCTAGATGTGAACCAGGGTGGTTCTGTTACCCGTGAGTTTCCTCAGCTGCCTCAGGAAGTATAACCACTGCAAAGCTTTCTTAGGAAGAGCAGTGATATTCTTTCTCCATTTGAGGGAGCCAGTGATGTGTATTCCTAGCATCTTGCTCACAGTCACAGTTGTGTTCACTTGTCTTGGGGAGGTGGGGTGAGTCACCCCTCTATCATTTTGACAATGTTAAGCTCTAAATGATTCTTTGAGCACCACGATATCAAGTGATTCATCACCCTTCTGTAGATGATCTCATCTCCATTTGTGCTGAAACCTGCTGGTGTGGAGTCATCTTCAAACTTGAGTCACTTTGTGGGGGGTTCAGCGGTGGTGCAGTCCATTACGGACAAGGAGAACTGGGGAGGACACACAACCCTGAGGCACACTGGTGCTGATGGTGAATCACAGCTGCACATACTGGTTCCTGTTTGTTAGTAGGTCACTGGCTGTGACAATTTGACATTCAGGAGATCTGGCCTAATTATGGTGAAGGCGAAGCTAAAATTAACATATAGGATTCTTACACAAGTAGGTACCTGAGTTGTTCACAAAATAATCCATCAAGCTGTTAAGAAGTTTGTCTGGGGCAGGTTTTCATGACAACTGATGTCACGGCGATGAGTCCCTAGTCAATGAGGCTGGATATTTTGTCATTCATGGGAGTAGGAACAATGATGGACGTCTTTAAGTGGGACAGGGACCTTGCTCTGACTGTGGGATAGGCTAAACATGTCAGTGAGCATAGGTGGTAGCAGGCCTGTGTTGTGCTTCATTGTGGCAGTGGAGACCCCTTGAGGCAGTGGAGATCGCTTGAGGCAGGGGAGATCGCTTGAGGCAGGGGAGATCCCTTGAGGCAGTGGAGATCTCTTGAGGCAGGGGAGATCCCTTGAGGCAGTAGAGATCCCTTGAGGCAGTGGAGATCTCTTGAGGCAGGGGAGATCCCTTGAGGCAGGACCAGCTGCTTTGCAGCAGTGCTGTTTTTCAAACAGCCTGCAGACTGTTGCTTCGTGACAATGGGGTGAGATGCAGAGGGTAGAGGAGCAGGTTAGAAAATATGAGGTCCATGCAGATTTGGGGGATGCGGGGGGGGGGGTACTGGCAGAGAGGTTAAGCTATGGGCATTATGGGTAGAGTCAGGGCTGGTCAATCCTACAGGTGACATAGCCAGCCGCCTAGGGCATCATCTACTGAGGGGGTGTTGACTTATCAAGTCACTGATGAAGTGAAATTGGACGGTGAGGTCTGCCTAAGGGCACCTACATTTAATCGTGCTGCACCTATAAGAAGACAGTTCCGTATTTCACCAAATATCTCAGTTTTTGTGCGTTTCATCCAGTTGTTCCTGGATACTCTCGTCAGGCCGAATTTCCGGCAAACACTGCGCCTCTGCCGTAAATCAAAGAGATTCCAAAGGAAAAGGCAAAGGAGTCGGAATCTTCTTCTACGTGCAGCATGATCAAATGGAAATTGCTGCGTTGCATTTCCGATAAATCTATGAGGGCCATGTTTTCATCACGCCCAGAACGGCTCCACATAAGCCGCAAAATAAGGACATTAATCATGGGCGCCATTGTGCTCTGCGACAGCGCTTTCCTCCCATGTTTCATTCGACATAAATGAGTTGCACGGTGATGACAAAAGCGTGCTCGGGCCCAGGACGTTAGGGGCAATGTCAGTGCAGACCAGCAGGGGAGTGGGGGGGGGGGGCAATGGTGCTCGGGCACAGTACAGGGCAACCGGGCCAAGTGTGAGTACATCCTGATTACATAAGAACATAAGAAATTTACAAACAAGAGGAGGCCATTCGGCCCATCAAGCTCGTTTGGGGAGAACTTAACTAACAGCTCAGATTGAGGGTTTGTGGTGCATGAATGGTGGCAGGTACTGGGAAAGTACAAGTTCATAAGCTATATAATTGGTCTTAGAAATACATGGAGGCAACTTAGGGGAAGCAGAACTAATGGTGAGCAAATGGCAGTTTTTCATGTGCAGAAGCCAAACATTATAGTTACGGTCATAAGCCTAGGACCGGCGTCTTACTTGATCTTGAATATAGCATGTTTCCGAAACGTCATGAGTATATTTAAACGTACAAATCCAAGTATCAGATAAAGTCTCAAGATTTACGGTCAGATCTGAACTGCACCTCATGAGGTAGCGTAGAAGAGAGACTGACTAAAAGATATACACCTTTAATTAAGGTTCAGCTGTGGAAGAATTATGAAGAGAAGTGTCTGTAAGGATTCCTAGCCATTGTAATGACATGCTTCCCAAAGCACCCACCTACAAGACTTTGAAAGCTCGGAAACAGAGGCCTGGCGGATGAAGAAATTCAGATGCATTACATGAAACAGATTCCAAGATCTAGAAGTATTTCCCTGTTTCGGTCTGTAGCTGCCACAGTTGATTTTACTGCTTTTGTTGATAGCACAGAAGCTATTTTAGATTAGCGGTCGTTAGCGTTTGTGTGGATCAACTGGGCAGTCTGGTAAATTGAAATCACCTTTCCTGTTCTGAAGGGCAGCAGTGTTTGTAAACAGAGTTTAAGTTCCAAGTTGTTTGAGCAAGATGGTTTCTCAACTGGAGGTTTGGCCTTCTGCCGGTACCGGGAGCCGGAGGGTGATGAATCATCTGATAGACGACGGCTGTGTTTCTTTTTCCTCCCCTCCATCGGGAGGCTGTTTTTCTCAGCGGTTCCGCCAAGAGAGCGGACCCACTAGGTGGGCTGCAGCCACCGGTGAACCATCTGCTTCGGGGAGTGCCGGCTCTGCTGGCCACAAAGCAGGTCACCTGCGTTTTCATCTCCTGTGGCCTGCTCCACATCCGAAGACTGTATGTCGGCTTCAAAGACTTGTGTGTTCGTCTCTCAGGACCTGTGGACCATTTCAATCATTAAAAAACTGATGTTCCACAAATCACAGCAGGTATACTTTAAAAAAATCCAGAGTGGACTGGTTTTCTTGCATTATTTCTCGGAGAGGCTTGGACAGTATCAATACATCCAAGTGTGTTAGCAGTATAATATATCCATCCATCCATGTTCTGTACCCACGGGGCAGGGGAGGAGCCTATCCCGGAAGCTACAGGCATGAGGCAGGGAACAACGCAGGATGGGGCGCCAACCCATCACAGGGCACACTCACACGCCATTCAATCACACATGCACACCTAGCGGTATAATAATATAATTATTTTAAAGGATTTTGTCGTGCTGTGCTTTTAAGGGAATCAGTAGAAACACATAATACATCAAAATCTCTTTAAGTAAGAGGAATGATAATTTACCTCCGTCGATTTACTGTATTTGTATTCAGCTCATAGCCGGCTCTTCCTCCATTTGACGCATTGTTATTCAGCGGACTGAGTTTTTCCACGTTAGCTTGCCCATTAAATCACAGGCAGCTCCCAATATTCCGTAGTGGTGCTCGTCCTCACTTACGCGGCCGGTGCACGTTATACCTACCGGAACCAACAGTAGTGCTGAAAATAAAAAAAGCACATGCGAGTGAGTCCGCTTGGCTGAGAAAGCGCCCTCCGGTGCCTGCAGGAGCACCTGCACTGCTGATCCCCTGCGTGGAACATGCGTCCAAATGTTCAGCAAATGAGATCTTTTATTTTAGGTAACTTTTAATAATATACTGTTTTTGTCAGGGTACTATAGGCATAATCAAGCATTATCATAATCAAATAAGAAAGGAAATGTAACTCTTACAAATGCTATATGTGCCTTTAGGTTTTGTGTTTTCATGAAGAAAGAGTGTCTTTGCATCAAAGGTATTTTTCAGTTGCAGACTGGCATAAAAACCCAGAGGACTTACCTTGTTGCCATGTGTATCTGGGCTGGGCCTTTTTCATTGGTGGAGAAATAAGTCCTCTGAGTCCATTCTGCTTCTCACTCCTTTGCCCTGTGTAGTCTGTGTACCTGTGCAGTTGTGTGAGTGAGCCTGGATTCTGTGTGTGGCTCAGTTTTGTTCCACACCGCAGCACTGGTCTTATGGAAACCTCTGCACGTTGGCGCCATCTAGAGACCGGATCTGTGTCAGACAAAAGCAATGTCATGCTTATCCATTTATAGAGCTCTATATTTTATTACAGCAATTTCACATTAAGTAACTTATTCAAGTGGCCATGACTGTAGGTTCTGACTGCCCTTAACCACAATGCCCCCTGCTGGCGTTCTTTAATTTGACGCTACAAAAAAAGTAGCGGCATTTAAAATTTTTACGAGCTGTTTTAGCTTGTGAGCTCTTTTAGGTGGTGAGTGATTATTTCAGCATGTATTTCATGTATTTCTTGAGGAAGACATTTTGAGGGAATGCCTTCAACAACAAGGAGTACTTAGTAATAGCCCACTTGTCTGTCTTTTTCCAGGGGGGACAATGATGAGGATGCAAAGGAGAATGTGCTGATGGCCCATTTTACATAACATCCGAAAAGCCCCTCAACAAAAAATGGTTCTGTCTGAGACGAGTGGCCCTGTTGTGGCACAATGGCTGCCTGTATGCCTTTGTGAGCCTGAGACATTCAGGGTAGAGGTCTGCTGTTATGCAGCCAAAAGTCTTGATTGCCCAAAAACGGCGGGCGGACACCGGGCCCAGCGGCTGCCACACAACGGCCAGGTCCTCGCACTCATTTGCAATTTAATTGACGCGTTATGTTGCGCAATCCCTCAGCCCCCTTGACCCGGTGCCGCTGGTCGCGGCACAATGGTGCCTCACGCTGGGGCGGTTAATTAAGGAAGAATCTTCAGACAGGAAGGAAGCGGCTGTGCCAAGCGGCAGCCCCCGGGAGCTGAACCCCACCCCTCTTCAAAAGCGACAAAGTCAGGGCACGACTCACGCCGAGCTGTGCTGAGTGTCGCACTGGCCGACGCGTGTGTGGTGCCGCTGTGAGGAGATTTGACTGCAAAAAGTCACCTTCACCCCCCCCCGCAAAAAAAAAAGTCGTTTCTGAAAACTGACACCAACTGCTTGCTAGCATGAATGTGAGATGTATGAAATTAGCCACTTAGCTGATGGTGTCGTCTGAATCAACTTGCGATTTATTTATTTAATGCATCTGTACAGCTACATACTATAACATTTGCAGTTAAATGCCTCACTGCCCCCCTCCAGTGTAGTTAAGCAGGTTAAGGAGCCTGTGCTGTGTTCAGAACGATGTGGCTGGCAAAGTGATCACACGAGTGTCTGGTCCTTCTTAACTGCTGCGCTGCATGTTGCCTGTTTAACAAGGACACGGGAAGCTCTTCTCTTATAACCTGTGAGTCCCCTGTCAGGTCCGGAAGGGTGATCCTGCCCACCCTGGTGTCACTGCTTGGTCCATCAGCATCTGAGGGTACTTCATCTTCAGGCTGTAATTCTGCAGCCAGGATTCACCCCACGAGGCCTCTTGGTGGATCATCCCACTCCTCCCACCTCCAAGTTCTACAGGCAGTGCAGGCAACAGAGAAGCTAATAATACTTATTATAGGGTAATGCCCCCCCACACACATGCACATCATTCTGCATTATTATTACAGTGTAATTCCCCTCCCACATACACATCACTCTGTATCATTATTACAGTGTAATTCCCCTCCCACATACACATCACTCTGTATCATTATTATAGTGTAATGTCCCCCACATACACATCACTCTGTATCATTATTATAATAGTGTACGGCCCCCACATACACATCACTCTGTATCATTATTATAATAGTGTAAGGGCCCCCCACATACACATCACTCTGCATCATTATAATAGTGTAATGCCACCCCACATACACATCACTGTGTATCATCATCATTATTATAGTGTAATGCCCCCCCACATACACATCACTCTGCGTCATCATTATTATTCTAGTGTAATGCCCCCCCACATACACATCACTCTGCGTCATCATTATTATTATAGTGTAATGCCCCCCCACATACACATCACTCTGCG